GGCCTTCTAAAGAGCAGTCAGGGTTGATCTCCTCTAGGACTGACCGGTTGGATCACCTTGCAGTCCAAGAGACTAGTAGGAGTCTTCTCCAGCACCATAGTTCAAAGGCCTCCATTCTTTGGTGCTCAGCCTTTCTTATGCCTTTCATACTTACCTGAATCCCCATGGTCATGTGATCAAAATTTGGATGCTGGCATGTACTTATGACAGTTGCAATGTCCTGTGATCCCCATTTGTAACCTTCCCAGTCCGCTTCTGACAAGCAAAGTCACTGAGGGATGTCAGATTCACTTAACAACTGCATGATTCACTAGTGGTTTGCTTAACAACTATGGCAAAAAGGATCATAAAATAGGGAAAACTCACTTAGCAATGGAAATTTTGGGCTCGATTGTGTGGTCATAAATTGAGGACTATCGGTATACATGGGATCATCAATGTAGCTGCTTTGAAAGTACCACCAAAGGAATGCTAATCAAGGGCCATGCCACATCTGTTAATATAAATATCCTTTGCAACAGGATACAATGCTTATTCAGGCCAGAAGTAATAAATAACCTGACTACAGAACAGACCTAAGAGAGAGACTGACATTAAGGCTTTTGGTCATCATTAGTATTTACCATGGAGAGATGTGTCGAGCTTAATTAATTGGTATGAAGCCAGTGAATAAAAGTCAGTCGCTGATGATAACATAATTAGAATAATTGCTATTGTTATTAAATCTTCAGTCTGTGTTGCCAAAGGATAAAAAATAAACAGTATTCTCTGAGGAGAAATATCTGGACTCTCCCAAAATAGAAAAGCCAAGGAAAGATTTTGTTCTTATAAATCTTAAACAGTTTTAATGTTTTTACATCCCAGTTTTAAGTGTTGAAATCCACCCAGAATCACTTGAAAATGAGACGAGCAGCATATAGTATAAATTTAATAAATAAATAAACAAATCAATAAATTGCTCATTCTTGCTGACTTTTCATTTGTGGGAGGAATCTATACAGAAGAATTCTTGGCTGAAGACATCCGCTTCAGGGAAAATAGAATTTCTTAATATTGTTTGCCATGTGTCAGGCCTGGAAGCCATCTTTTACATTGGGCCTTCTGCTGTGGGATAATGGGAGTGGGGATTAGATGGAGTATGGGTAATATCAGTGGTGGGTTTCAAAAATTGTTCGAACCTACTCTGTGGGTGTGGCCTCCTTTGTGGGAGTGGCTTGCCGCCCATGTGACCAGATATGAAGATGCCAACGACACTTGTCAGAACCACCTTAAATTACCTCACACATAGCACTGGCATGCATAAGAATATGATGTAAACTTGTTTTTTAAAAGGCATCTTTGGTTTGCGTTAAAACAACTTTAGAGCCGAGGTGGCGCAGTGGTTAAATGCAGCACTGCAGGCTACTTCAGCTGACTGCAGTTCTGCAGTTCGGCTGTTCAAATCTCACCGGCTCAGGGTTGACTCAGCCTTCCATCCTTCCGAGGTGGGTAAAATGAGGACCCGGATTGTTGTTGGGGGCAATATGCTGACTCTGTAAACCGCTTAGAGAGGGCTGAAAGCCCTGTGAAGTGGTATATAAGTCTAACTGCTATTGCTATTGCTATTGCTAACTTCAACACACGCAATGTTCTGATTGCACCACAAACGCAGTAGTCATCCTTACCTTTCACAGAGGCACTGAGTTTTATAAATATGAGCATGATAGTGTAGAATAATCATATCCAAGGACCAGTGGTGGGTTTCAAAAAAGTTTGGAACCTCTTCTGTAGGTGTGGCCTGCTTTCCGGGTCCACTGGTGGAACCTCTTCTAACCGGTTCGGTAGATTTGACGAACCGGTTCTACCGAATAGGTGCGAACTGGTAGGAACCCACCTCTGGGTAATATATAGTCTAAAAAACATTCCTTTGTCAGAGAGTCAAGGACACCTTGCCCTGCAGCTGTGATGGTGTGCCTGGGAGGCATCTCCAGTTTTGGATGGTGCCTGATTGGGTTATGTGATGGACATGTGTGTGTTGGGCAGGGACTTGAAATTTTTTTGGGGTGGGGAAAACCTGGAAACTTTCAGATTCTGTTTTCCCCAGATGTGCCAATATGATGTCTCTAATAAAATGGAACTTTGAGGAAACTCAAACGTTGGAGTCTTCTTTCATTGGGGGTGTTACTTGGAACCCTGACATTATGTTCATTATCCAATTTATTCCTTACAGCACTAGGCTTCTACTTGCAGAAGGAAGGAAGACTGAGGAACGCTGAGGGAATTTTTTCCCCCTTATGATGAGGGGAAGGAAGGAAAGATTCACAATTGTTGACTTCCCCCATCTTGCAGCATGAAATGATTTGACATGTCCTTTTCCTCCTTGTTCTGTTCCTGTGCTAGTTTGCTACGCTTTATCGTAATCCCCTTTTCACATCCATTCCTATCTGAGGGCAAGGGTTTGTCAGGTTCAGATCCTTCAGCTCAAGTAACCAAAGGGGAATTAAATAGCTGCCATTTCCTCCAGTCTGTCTCCACCGCTCCTGTCTTGTTCCTCCTTCCACACTGCCTCACAATTGATGCTTACATTTCAAACTGCCTCTTGTCTTTGGGTGCTCACCATGAGATCAATCAAAGAAACAGAACCGAGAGGAGAAAAGAACAATAATCAGCCGGTTTCATGCATGTCTAAATAAGGCCTAGTGGTAACCATGGTAACAGCAATGAAATGCTATCCTCTATCACGGTATGATCTCTTGTTTCTGCCACTCCTCATCTACCAGGCTGCCTGGAATGAACAGGCTCATTCCATGTAAAAGCATGAAATTCAGAAGAACGGTTGTTTTAAACCCTAAATGCTGATAAGATATCCAGGCAAAGTCCTCTGGTTGTTGAAAAGGACCATACGACTACTACTCAATGTTTAAATTCCCAAAGGCCTGTTGCATTGTTCTGAACTCCGGTTTAATTTCCTTCCGTCCAGGTCCTCCATCTCAAATATTTATATTTTGCTTCATTGACAATGTTTGTTATAACTAAAAGCAGAATGAAACCATCATCTCTCCATTAAAAAAAAAAAAACCTAGATTGTCAAAGAGGTATAAGGCGGTGAGGCAAAGGACAGATGTGAGGGAAGGGAAAAAAACCCTCGTTTCTATTTTCTCCACTCATCATGTTTTTTCCTCTGTTAATGAAGAAACTCGCAACTTTGGATATCTTCCAAAGAGAAACAAGCTAGACAAAAGTCTCACACATTCATTTGAGTCTAATTTAGCAGGTATAGTTTTCTCCCAGAAAAGAGCAGATCTTGTGGCACCTGTTTCACCATCTCTCTAATTTAGCGTTACTATTATAGTTGAATGTACTGTGATGGAACCTCAGACCTCTCAAATTTTTCTGTTCAATGACAGGTTAACTGGATCTTTGTTTGCTCCAAATGAGCAGTCAGATGCCTACATTCACAGATATCACCTAAAATCACACATTTCACTTCTTCCCCTCTCCTCACTGAAGAAATGTGCAAATATTTTGCTCATGTAAGTAAAATGTATGTACACATATATACATGCATATACACAGAGAGACAGAGACAGACAGAGACAGACAGACAGACAAAGATGGAGAGAAAGACAGAGAGAGAGAGAGAGAGAGAGAGAAACAGAGAGAGACAGATGAGAGGGAGGGAAGGAGAGGGGGCAGAGGGAGAGAATGAATTTCATTTTTCCCCACCAATCGCTCAATTAATTTGATGAAATGCTCAAAAGATGTTCTTCACAGATGTTCAGAAAGGTGTAAATGTCAGATGCTGACTGAGATACAAAACTCACCATCTTCATCAGTCTGAAATATCATCTCTTTGCCTTCTTTCCGGCCTTCAGGATTGGACAGGATGAGCTTGACATGGACATTTTTATAAGGCAGAAGGTTCTTGATGGTGTAGTGGTTGGTACCATGCTCCATCTTCACACATTCACGAAAGGTCTGGTTATGGCCAGTGCCTACAGCATAGCGATAGCAGAGTGTGACAGTATATGTGTGACAGCGTGTCAGGTTGTAACCCAGAGGCTCCCACTGAAGGATCAGCTGCCTGGATTGGATCTCTGCAAAGGCAAGGCCTTTGGGGGCCCTCATAGGTTCTGAAGAAAGAGATGGAGAAAGAACAAAAAAAAAGCAAAATCAGTAACTATCGGGACACTGGGAAAGGACAATACTTCGTCAACTTCCAGTGGAGAAGGACGCTGAGAATGAAAAGGCGTTACAACCTCTGGGGTAGCAGAAAATTAGATTTAGATCAGCTGGAGGAAGGTATAATAAATATGAGAGAATGGTTTGAATCTGTTTACAGGTAGTCCTCAACTTACAACGATTCATTTAGTGACCCTTTGAAGTTACAATGGCACTGAAAAAAAGGGGCATGACCATTTTTCACACTTAGCGCAAGATGCCTTACCCTCACGGTCACATGATCAAAATTCAGACACTTGGCAGCTAGCTCATAATTTATGACAGTTCATCTTTTGCAGCCTTCTACTAAACAGAGTCAATGGGAAAACCAGATTTATTTTACAATAGTATTATTGACAACGGCAGTGATTCACATAACAAATGTGGCAAGAAAGGTAATAAAAATGGGCAAAACTCACTTAACAACTGTCTCACTTAGCAATGGGAATGTTGGGCTCAATTGTGGCTGTAAGATTACAAGAATTACCTTTATACCCTTCCAATCAATCAATCAATCATGTGTAATAACTGCTTGCCATAAAGCATGGTCCCGAACCACAGCTATGATTCTTTGTGAAAACAGTTGTGATTGAGTACTTGAACCAGAAAGCCTGACCATGTGAAATCCTTTAGCTCTTGCACTTCTTAACAGAATAAGAGAATAACAAAATAACAGAATTGGGAGGGACCTTGGAGATCCTTTAGCCCAACCTCCTGCTTAAGCAGGAGCCCCTATAGTGTTTCAGACAAATGGTTCTCCAATCTCTTCTTAAACATTTCTGGTGTTGGAGCACTGGCAACTTCTGGAGGCAAGTTGTTCCACTGATGAATTGTTCTAAGTGTCAGGAAATTTCTTCTAGAACCTAAGGACAGTTAGAACAATTAATTTGTTGTTCCCACTCTCCAACATTGACATGATAACTCCCTATTATCCAACAGACGTGGCAAAACACAGAGTTTTACATGAGTCATGCTATTGTACCAGTACCCTCAGAAGACAAGGAAAGTCCCAGAATTGTTATGTACCACAATTGCATTGTGTCAGAATCTATTAGAACAAACCCCATGCCAATGTTTATGTACGCGTGATGTTCTTCTCCTCTTTGAATGTTTTAATCTTATTTTTTTAAAAAAAAAAATGATTTCCCTGTATGATCTGATCTCCAATCGTAATAAATAAAACAACAGAAACCAGAGGGCCTGACAACGACAGAAGAACAGTCATTAATCTTATATGGCAAGACCACTGCTGAAGAACAGAGGTGGAACTCTGACACCAGAGCAGAATATCCTGCAGGAAGGAAGCTCCTCAAGAAGGAAGAAACCCCCCACTGGTTTTTAAAAGCATCCTGTTCTAAAACAGAGGTGAACATCCTATGACTCCGGGGTTTATGTTCATCCAGCTCTCAAATTAATTTTAAAGGTCTTTGCAAGCAAAACAAGCAATTTAGGTTTCCGGCAAAAGCAGTATATCCCTTCCTTGGCACATTATATGTAAGGAGGGAGGGAGGAGTGCCAGAAAATTATAAATGCCCCAAAATAATTTTTTTTAAAAAAAAAGGTGCCTCATCCTTCTTTGGCATTGGTTGCACCCATCCTTATCACAAGATCTTTCCTCAAAGGATGGCCCTATGGAAATTCAGAGCGTGATGGAAAAGCGTGAACCAACCTTCCTCTCAAGAGATTATTCAATGGCAAAGAAGGCCTTACAACATGCCCAAGAGATATATATATCTTCCATATATAGCAGCAATATGTGTTACCCATCATGAAAGGATCCCTCATGGGTTCTGCAGAAGAACCGAGGTGGCGCAGTGGTTAAATGCAGCACTGCAGGCTACTTCAGCTGACTGCAGTTCAGCAGTTTGGCTGTTCAAATCTCACCGGCTCAGGGTTGACTCAGCCTTCCATCCTTCCGAGGTGGGTAAAATGAGGACCCGGATTGTTGTTGGGGGCAATATGCTGACTCTGTAAACCGCTTAGAGAGGGCTGAAAGCCCTATGAAGCGGTATATAAGTCTAACTGCTATTGCTATTGCTAAATAAGAGTGGGAGACAGAATGAAAAACAGCAAACTTCAGTAACTAATTTAGGTGGAGGGGAAACATGCTTGTAGGAAGAGCTGCATTCTATCTGGACGCTCAGCTTTATAGGTAGTCTTTGACTTACAACTGTTTGTTTAGCACAGGAGTATCAAACTTGATTTAAATACAATAGCAGAGTTGAAAGGGACCTTGGAGGTCTTCTAGTCCAACCCCCTGCCTAAGCAGGAAACCCTTTACCATTTCAGACAAACAGCTATCCAACATCTTCTTAAAGACTTCCAGTGTTGGAGCATTCACAACTCCTGGAGGCAAGCTGTTCCACTGATTAATTGTTCTAACTGTCAGGAAATTCCTCCTCAGTTCTAGGTTGCTTCTCTCCTTGATTAGTTTCCACCCATTGCTTCTTGCTCTGCCCTCAGGTGCCTTGGAGAATAGTTTGACTCCCTCTTCTTTGTGGCAACCCCTGAGATATTGGAACACTGCTATCATGTCTCCCCTAGTCCTTCTTTTCGTTAAACTAGACATACCCAGTTCCTGCAACTGTTCTTCATATGTTTTAGTCTCCAGTCCCCTAATCCTCTTTGTTGCTCTTCTCTGCACTCTTTCTAGAGTCTCCGTATCTTTTCTACATCATGGCGACCAAAACTGAATGCAGTATTCCAAGTGTGGCCTTACCAAGGCATTATAAAATGGTATTTCATTGAAAGCTGCATCAGGGTTGTGTTTGATCTCCTGTGTGTGTGTCCAAGGGGCGTGGCCAACTTGACATTACTTGTGTCAGGTGCGCCTGTGGTAGCCCGAGCACCCTGCCAGTGAAAATGGGCTCCCGAGCTCGGTTTTTGGCTGCAACGGCCTCCTGCAACCCTCTGCCAATGAATACAGAGCTCGGGGGGGCTGTTTTTGTTGACAGAGGCACCACAAGCCAATCCTTCACTGTTTCCAGGAAACACCATGAGCCAGATCTAAGCACACTGTGAGATGGATCCAGCTATCGGGCCTTGAGTTTGACACCCCTGGTTTAGCCATTGTTCAAAGCAATTTGCAGTCTGGATGTGACTCACTTAACAATTGTTTCGCTTAGCAATGGAAATTCTGGGCCCAAGGGTGTCAAGGACCACCTGTACATGGTTAGTAGAGGCAGCTTTTACACTCAGTGGCTGCATTAATTACAACAACATACTTACCCTGTATGATATAAGGATGGTAGAGGACAGGAAGGCCTGGAGGAACGTTGTCCATACGTCGCAATGGGTCGTACATGACTTTGCAACTAACAACAATTTATCCTATTCACTGAATTACTTCATTTTCTAAATTGCAGAATAAACAACCTCAAAGGCTAAGTTCATACCCAATGATCTACTACCAACAGACCAAGTTGAACTAGAATTAAGAAAAATGATTCGTTTTGCAATGTTCTGAAAGCAAAACAAGCCATCCCAATCTCAGAACAAGACATTTCAAGACTTCTGGAAGTGATCCTTCTAGGAACCAGTAGTGCTGAAACACTCAGAGCACCTGTGCTTTGAGAATGGTCCGTTTCCAAAAACAACGAATGACCCATTTTGATATCGGAAAGTTCCACCCTGAATTATTTTGCCCACCACTGAAGCTTAGCATATCATGTGGACGCACCTGCTAGGTTCATAATTGACCTGGTGAAGAGTAAACGATCAAGTTATGAGTATTAGGAGAACAAACCACTGTATGTAAAGATCAGTTCCCTAAACACCAGAAGAATCCAATAACAAAGCTTCCTCAGATTAAATAAACTAAGGTCAGCTCCCTAGTTGTTAAACTGGATTATGTTTAATGAACTCGGGCACACTAAAGCTAACGGTCCCAAGATATGATAAAATGCCCTTAAACATTGCTATTCAATAATTTTGGAATATCTACAACCATTTGTGCATCTCTTTCACCGAATGTTGTATAGAAATAACTTTTGATATGACTGGAGAGAGAGAAATGACACAACACAGCACCATACCGGTAACTCAAAAGACTCCCAAGTAATGGTTTTGGAAGCAATTTTAAGTACTGGGTCATCTGAACTGTGCCTCTTGCGTCCATGCATAGGAAATAGCCCTGAACAATATTATACCATCCAGTTTGGAATCTGCAGCAGTCTTCATAGAGATACGAGATATTTTACATCTCTCCAAAATAAACTTATCAACCTATTCATAAGTAGGTGAAGCAAATGCACACGGAACAGCAATTTCAAGCGCTGTAGGAACAGACAGCAAAAGTTGATGGTGCTGCAAAAATTAGGTTTTAAAGCCATGACAAGCTCCTTCCCCTTGTGCCTCTCCAGGTGTTTCTGCCTTGTTAGATTTTGGGATTTTTTTTTTCATCATCATCACACACACGCACAGACACACACATACTCACACACAAATATAACTTTAGATGAAGAAATAAACCAAGACCTAAGCAAAATGCAGACATCGCTTTTCCTCTGTGGATCTTCAGAAATGTACTCTTTCCAATCGATCTAATCATTTTGCCTTTTTCCTCCCCTGCCTCTCTAATGATAAAAATCTATCACTTTTATGGGAGCTGTTTTTCTCGCTGCTGTTCTTTTTAAAGCATTTTGGTTGTCCGTGTAGGGTTTAAAGTTGTGACAGAACTCTAAGTGGGGATACATTTCAGTAAAATTACCGTCTCTATTTTAACTTTTGTTGCGAAAAGAACTTGTGTCCTGCTCGATTTATTTTCCATATTCGAAGACTGCTTTGCAGAAACTATATACCTGAATGCTAAGAACTTCAGAGCTCTGAAGGGCTTTGAGCCTCTTGAACGTTGAAGAAAGTGGATTTATAGTCTTTTTCCTGCTGATTTACATCTCATCTTTGTGGGATCTATTTTTTAAAAAATTGATTTATTCATGTAGGTATTTCATACTATGCTCCTTGAGGATGCACACATGCACACTCAAATAACTCTAATAAAACACTCGGATCTTAAAGTCATGGCAACAACAGGCAAAGCAAAAGAGCAACCAAAATAAATTTTAAAAAAATTAAGAAAAGAAATATAAAAGTCAACCAAGAT